TGATGATTTTTTGAAATGATATCGGTTGTTTTTAAATACGAGGGCGGTTTGATATGTCAGTGACTTTTTGAATTTCCCGCGCAGTTACTTCAAATGCAACACTGCTGACGTCATCTGTAATCTACCAGTGGGCTACTTTTTAAAATTTTAAACTACGTCGTTCAGTTGGTGTTTGATAGCCGTTCGAAGCAGACAACCTCGTGAATTTTTACGAAAATGGAAAAAAGTGAATTTCGTGTGCTGATTAAGCATTACGATCCCAAATCCATGTATTGGGATACGAACTGCTACGCCATCCAGCATATTCTCCAGATTTAGCCCCTGCGACTATTTTCTGTTTCCAAACATAAAGAAATGGCTGGGCGGTAAGAGATTTAAGTCGAATGAAGAAGTTATTACCGAAACAAACGCGTATTTTGAGAGTTTTGAGAAAACCTATAATTTGGAGGGAATAACAAAATTAGAAAAACGCTGGACTAAATGTATCGAGCTAAAAGGTAGAAAAATGTTTATGTAGGAAAATGTTTATTTGCCGAAAAAAATTTGTTTTATTCAAAAAGTCACTGACTTATCAAACCGCCCTCGTAGTACGATATAGACATACATCAATTTTATAGATATGAAATCATTGTACAAGATTTGCTTCTGTTGTAAGCCCCCTAGTCTCGTCTTATACTTGTCTTATACCCTTTTTTTCATTTCCATGTCATATCAGTAAACAATTAATATATTTATTTATTGGATATCAAAAGAAATATCGCACATGTTTTTATTTGCTATACACCTATTAATTTTTTTTTTTTTTTCATTAAAATTATATTCATTTCAGCTGTTTTCTTACTATTCTACTTTAATATTTTTTTATTATATCTGTATTAACTTAACAAGTTTAATTTACTTTATCTTCAATCAGAATGGAATAAAGAAATTGTTAGTTTATTTTCTTGACGCGTTTAATAATGTTTGGTTTTGGTTTTTATGGAAACATTGCAATTCCTATTTAAGTATAAAAAAATAAAAAATAAACAGTCATGGTTAAATAAAAAAAATAAGTTTGTATTGAAAATAAGTTTGTTTTCATGAAGGACGTTGGAATTGGTAATTAATACCATAAAAATATACACGTGTCGGGTATGAAAGTGTGTATGTATTCACACTCATATATGTATATTTATTTGTTGTGTGCACTTTTATTTTTATGTTTAATGTCATGTAAATTTTTTTCCAACACGAAGTTTCACTTATAGTCAATTTAATTAGTAGTATAGTAAGTATTGGGATATCTATGATTGATTCTAAAAGTAGAATCAACCGTACTACAAAATAACATTTCTATTAAATTTAATTGTGTATATTCATTTAAAAGCGTATTAATTTCGTAAGATAATTCCTTGCTTCTAGAGAAAAAAAAAACGTATTTCTAAAAATCGTTTTACTGCTTTTTTTAATAAAAACGTACGAATTTATTTATTACTATTCCGTGCTTTTTACATATTTATATGTTCGATTAATGCTGGCTCAACTTTACTACAACGGTGACATTTTTTTCTCAATATATCTTCATCTATCTTCTTGTTCATCTATCTTCTTCTTCATCTATCTTTTTCTTCATCTATCTTCTTCTTCATCTATCTTCTTCTTCATCTATCTTCTTCTTCATCTATCTTCTTCTTCATCTATCTTCTTTTTCATCTATGTTCTTCTTCATCTATCTTCTTTATCTATCTTCTTCTTCATCCATCTTCTTCTTCATATATGTTCTTCTTCATCCATCTTCTTCATATATCTTCTTCTTCATCTATCTTCTTTTTCATCTATGTTCTTCTTCATCTATCTTCTTCTTCATCTATCTTTTTCTTCAACTGTCTTCTTCATCTATTTTCTTCTTTATCTATCTTCTTCATGTATCATCTTCTTCATCCATCTTCTTCTTCATCTATCTTCTTCTTCATCTATTTTCTTCTTCATCCATCTTCTTCTTCATCTATCTTCTTCTTTATCTATCTTCTTCTTTATCTATCTTCTTTTTTATCTATCTTCTTCATCTATCTTTTTCTTCATCTATCTTTTTCTTCATCTATCTTCTTCTTTATCTATCTTTTGCTTTATTACTTTTTTCAACACCTTTTTCGTTGTTGCATCCTTTTCCAAGCTAACATTATGAATGTTGCGCCAATATTATAATATAGCCTATACCTTTCATCGATTTCAAAATAATTAAGGGAAACAGATTTCCCAAAGCCTAATTGCAGTATTTCTGCAATATCTTTGTTTAAAACAAAGATATCAATCGATAAACTGACGTTAATATAAACTCAATAGATCAAAACTGAATATAAGAGAAGTATTGATATTACAAATGTCATTTGGAAAGGCTGTTTGTAATTCTAATTTATCTTAATTTTCATATTCGTAGAGATCTAGATTTTAAGTAACCTTTAAATATTAATTTTTACTCTAGCGAATTATAAATTTAATCTAGATCTGTAGTCTGAGTTTTATGTTAAAAATAAATTATGTTTGTTCATTTCATTGGATATCAATGGAAACTGGTACATAAACAATTTTATAAATTTGTGCTACTCTAAAGACTTAAGGTGAATAAACATAAATATTCCGGTCTTTGTTTAAGAAATTTATTTAAATTTATAAACAAAGTAATTTTATATGACTGACTCTTATCTACTTTTCTTCTTCTTTGTTTTATGAAAGAATAGTGTCTAAATTACTTTTGCTCAATTGTCCCTGTGATTACATGAATGATAAACTATTAATAGCTCAATCTGTAAAAACCATAGATGATATTTTTTTCCTACATACATCATTTCTTCCTATTATTATTTTTAACAAAAGGGATAATACAATAATACACCTCGAAATACATTATCTTTTGTTTTATCCAAGAATAAATATTTTCTTAACACCGAGATGGAAATTATTCAGATACATAAGAATATTATTTAGATGAAATTTTCAGATCTGTTTTAGTTAGATAGATAATTATACTGGACTGGTTTTCTGACAATCGCAGTACACTAACAGGGAAGATTTGTAGGAGTAGTACTCTGGATTTAACAAAGTCTCTATTTCTGTATTTAATCTTCTGATGGTTTAAATACCTACTTGGCAGTATTTATGTTAGATTAAATGCATTATTGAATGAGCTTTTCGGATTGCGTTTAGTCTTTCTACAAATAGTTTATAAATAAATTATTGAACTTATTTGAGCTGGATTTTTATTTGCGGATTACATTAGTACGAATAGGATAGTCTTATCAACGGACTAAACTAAATATTTATTGAATTAATCGAAAATTAATTAAATTACTTTAATAAATTCAATATTTTGCACTTTATGTGAGTTGACAACTTTTAATTTTTTTTCCCTCATTTTCTGTATATTATTACGTTTTCACAATGAATATTTTGTTCATAGCTTTTTTAATTATAATAATTAATTATAAAGCATTAATTAAATTTTTTATTTAAATTTTTGTGCAATTTTTATTACTTTTACTAGATATCATTTTTTGTTTTCTGTGGTTTCAGTTAGTCCCTGGTAAATAAAACCAACCTCAACCTAGCCTACCACCAATTAAATTGAAGTAGTTTTTTTTTTGTTCGTAAACCAGACTAAATACTCTCTCCTCTATTGCTACACATATTATTATTTTTTTTTTGTAAGTACTATAATCTTTAGACTAACACACGTACAACTCAATCGTATCCTGGTATTCTAATACTCGTATGTGTTAAATTTTTCAGCTGTTTCAGGAATTTCCGCGTTTGCGCATTGAAGTTTTAAAAGTTCTGCTCTATTGGTGGTATTCTCCAGTCTTACCTGTTTATAACTAAACAAAAGGAAGCATAAATATTGTGCAACATTCTATAGATACAACCGAAAATTTTTAGTAAAATATTGGTTTCATCTAGTCTTGCAGTATTGCAAAAAAAATTGCAAAATTTTTTTTTAATTTTTTTTTTCACGCTTGATAAAAAGTTATTTCCACATTTTTTTTTGTCTAAACCTAGGATTTTAAAATTTTATAAGAATATATAAAATTTTATTACCAGATAAAAGCTATTTGCAGTAGAGATAATATAATATGGATTTATTATTCTTAACCTGTTAAAACTTTTGTTCCCCAAAACTGCTAAAAAGATATGGCTTCTTTAAAGGACAAGTGAAATTATAAATTTTCACTGATAATTCTTTAAATGTATATCTTAATAAATTCTTTAATCCATAGACTATAATGAAGTCGGCAGGATAGTTAGGATGTCAACAGTTTTATAGAGTTTGTCCAAAACAAGTGGTACTACGTCCATATTGCATATAGTATTGAAAGACTGAGTATTTAATGTGAACTAAAAATTTACAAGGTTTCAGTTATCGTTGGTTAGTTTCGTTAGTTCAACAATACTTCAAAGATAGTTCGAAAGTATATTACGGATTCGAATATAATTTTTAAGTACATAAGATTTGAGAATATGGTTGTAGGTAGTTTTGTGGATTCTTATCTCTAGTAGTTATGGTTCCTGTTGAATACTGTTTTTTAGGTTAAATAGAGAAACTTTGTAATCTATTTATATCTGGTTCGTAGAAGAACAGTAAACAATAGAACAGAAAAAACACGATTTATTTCAATTTATAAATTGAAAAAAGCATAATGAAAGATTTTAAGCCTAAATCTTCCATTTCCCCCAACAAGAAACTCATTTCAAGTCGTTTTGCGGTCATAAAAGAAAAAGAAGGGTCTTAAAAGGACCCGTAGTCCATATTTAAATTAGCCTAAGATAAATGTGTGTATGATTGGGTCAAGTACTGGTATATAAGTATTGCCTATTTAATAGCGACAAATTTTGATTGAGTGAAAACTTTTTGTGTGTTCAATCTTGTAAATCACTATTATTTTTTATCGTATAAATAAAACAAATGTCGGTAGAAATAAATTATAAATTATTATAAAATACATAGTTAATTGAATTTACCTGCGTTTAGAGAAACATCTGTTTATTTCATATATCTTATAAACACATTTACAGATTAGTTTTATAAAACATATTTTTCCTATTTTCGTTCAGAGCGAGAACTCTCTTTCACTCTCTTTCCCAAAGCTCTCCTCTGTCCTCTCTCTCCTCTAATACTCATGTATGTCAAGAATCCTTATAAAGCGACTGCGAAAACCGAATAATTTTTACAGGACATTTCAGTCGTTTTGAACACTTCGTACGGGAAAGACTTGTTATTGATTAACAGTGGAAGTTTTTTAATCTAAAATAATCAACAGAATATTCCTTGAGAATTTTGACAAGTTTCAAAAAAAAAAAAAATTAATTAAAAATAAATTTTATTGAATTCAACTTCAGTGTTTGTTACAATAAAAACTACTACACACAGAAAAGTAATAAATTTAATAGATAAATAAAATCAATTGAGTCTGGTTTTTGATTTGTAAAGTTTGTGTGTGATTTTCACTTTCTTTCCGCTTAACTTTTTATTTTTTATTAAATATTTTTCTAACAATTACCAAATAACGAATATATTCCTGTGTAAATAATTATCGTTTGTGAGAGCGTCGTCATATGGTGGGCGGTTTAACACGGAATTTTGCGGCATTAAACGCCTTCAGTAAGAATTTTGCAAGTAAGTGAACTAATAATTTGTTTATTCCGAAATTGCTCATATTTTTTATTCCTTTTTCATATTTGTAGTCTTTTGAATTTTATATGGAAGATAAAAAAAATATGATCTAGAAAAAAAAAAGTTAATATGGAAATCTCTGCAGTTTTAGACGAGAAAAAAATGCTTTGCATAAAAATCAATATTTGCCTTTGGTTCGGTTCTACTTTTTGCTTTACGTTGTACTGTGTAATTTATATGCATTGCTCTTTGGTTTTGCTACCAATTCGTCCTGTTTGATATTTCCACATCAACTACGTTTTCATCATCCATATTAGCTAGCAATTACGCAAACCCCAAATTCTCACTGCAGTCCGTATCTGCACTTTTCTCTACTACATGCCTGCACTCGGTCGGTAATAATTGGACATTGCAGTTGCCGTGTTTTTTGCTATGGAGTTGAATGAGGGTGTTCTTTGGGCTAACGTTTCCATTACATATATATATATTTTGGGCTGTCAGATTTTACACAGCTTGCTATTTACCCAGATTTTTTTCTTTAATATTTAAAAATTTTTTACAATTGTAATTGAAATAAAAAAAAAATTTTGAAAGCAGTTAAATAAATATCAATAAATTTCGTCACATTTTATCAAATCAAAATTTTCAGTTTTTATAATGAAATATTGTCAATCGCCGCACAATTCAATGAATTCCATTTACAATATTTTCCAACAATCCAATTTGCTACGAGAATGTTTGGATTCTGTACCATTTAAATGGCCGATTGCATGATTTGCATTATAAAACAGGTAATTCTATTAAAATTTATGCGATATTGATGAGTATTTGTGTTTTTTTTTTGAGTGTCTATTAGTCGGAGCTATCAGCACTTGATTGTCTGAAAAGATAGAGCCATTAGCTTTTTGATGTTATTACTTGTCATTGAAATTCCAAGGAATTTTGCCGGTAACAACAGAAGCTATATGTTTGTTTATGCCTTGGGATAAGGGAGGTTCATTTAACTCGTCTACTATTTCTTAGAGTACATAACCCGTTGTAAAAGTAATGAATACAGTGATTGTACTTATCACAATGCTCTCATTAAACGAGTCAACCTGAAATGGTTAGTGCAGCCGAAAACGTGGACCATGATCTTCTCTAGTGAAATTCACTCACTACCATTTATATTTCTTAAAGTATCGGGTAGTGTCTACAGAATTTTAGTCACTTTTTACGGCAGATAAAATTCGGGAGAATTCGTTTATCGCAGGCGTTATCTGAGAAAACATGTGGCTCCATGACATAAACTCAAAAATAATCCTGGTCCAGTAAAGTGTTAATTTTAGAATTTAATCAAATATCGTAATCCATCAAATAGAGGGTCTGTCCAAACAGTTTCTGATACGAGTACTCCAATTTGTTTGCGCCATTAAATCTTTGATAAGCTGCTTTCCTTGTAGTTCGAGAATGTATCATTTCGTTAAACGAGTAGTTTAAGCTTGAACAGATACCTTGCTCTCCGAAATTCATTTCTCGGATATTGGTATCTTTTTTGCAATGGCTAAATTGGCCATAAGCGTAAACACTTGGGATTGATAAGAAATATTTTTGTTAGATCTAAACTTGATAGATCTTGTAAGCTGATCTAAGCTGGACAATATTTATACCAGTCAGTTGTTTCAACTAAAGCGTCAACGCTTTTCGGCTTTAAGTCTAAATTCTGGAGTCCCGAAGTGACAAGAAATGTTGTCTCCGGTTGTTATTGGTTTATATTTTCTCATCTATTAATGGGATTTAATAACTGTTGGGGGTTTTTTTTTTTCGACGCGGCAGTTGCAAGTTTATTTTTATTTAAATTTATTTGCAATAATTTCAAATAATTTCAAATTTATTTTTAAATGTAATTTACACAATTTTAAAAAAACCCCAAGCTGTTAGTAATTGAGCTTGTGGTTTTTTTTTGACAAAGGTTTTATGAGATATTTTCTATATAATAGAAAATTATTTTTCAACTTTTCAAGTATGAATGTTATATCAAGCTCATGTTATATCTTAGAAATAAAATAAATCACTGCTATTGCTGTTATTGTTATAGTTTTTATTATAATTATGTGTTATAATTATGAGAATTTCGGACCGAATTCTCCAACTTTTGAGTGTAATTCCATTAAACTTTAAATTAAGAATTGTAATTCTAACAATTACAAATGTAAATGTCTAGACATGTAAGGAACATATATTATTGATAAATATACATAAAATTCATTGGGTTTTCAAATTCTGTAATATAGACAAAGGCTAAACTAAGCCGTTTTTGATGTGACCCAATAAGTATCGAATCATTTATTATTATTACTATCAAAGAAAAAGGATAGTACACTTACTCGGATTAGAGTGTATCTCCAAGTTCGATTTCTTTAATGAAAGACAGTACAGAGCCTATATTTCCTTGAATCTCTACTATTCCATGAAATACTGTCCTAGGTGTTTCTTTACCTTATGCATCGAATCATTTAATTGAACTTTTGAAATTAATGTGATTTATGACCTTGCTTAAAATTCCGCACATCTTTAATAAATAATAGGTGTATATTTGTGGAGGTTAAATTAGGAAGAGAATCTTTTGTTCGGTTAAGGTCAGGTGTTAGCAGAATATATTTATCTAGGTTATTACAAGAATGATTAATTACACCCAAAAAAAACTATACAAGCAAATCCTTGCGGGCTACAACAACAACATATGGGTTGCTGTTGTTGTAGGGATTTCATATCTGCTTTTATATATTACAGGGATATAAAAAGCAGATAACATGTAGGGATTTCACAACATATAGGTCGTAGTGTTTTGCTCTACTGGGAGTCCAAAATTGTTATTTTTGATTGAAAATAAATATAAGTCCAAATTTAAGAGAAACATAGTTATCAAGTTAAAAGTTAGTTATCAATTAAACATTTTTTTTCTTTTTTCTTATAGAACAATCAGTACAAAAAGGAGCACCTCCATCTCCACCTCAACGAAGCAAGACAGTTAAGTCGTGCATGAATTCTCATAAGCGATTAAGTCATAGGTAAGTAAAGAATTAAGAATTAAGGAATTTTAGGTTATACGGAAAGTAATTTCGTTTTTTCCCGACAGAGATTCCTTTTGTAAAAATTGTATTTTTTTTGTACCCAACTTCACACTTAAGTCGTTTAATTTTTATATGCTTTGAGAGCTTATATAGCAAGGCTTGTGTGTTTTTCCAATTAATTGTACGTAGTAGTTTTTGGTTGGTGCCCTTTATAAATATGGAGAGCGATAAGGTGTTCAAGCCAGAAATAAATTGACCGATGTGTATGCAGAAGGTGTGTGACAGTACGCCTTTGCCAGAACTGGTTCGCTAAATTTCGATCCGGCAATTTTAATGTCGAAGATGCATTACGTTCGGGAAGGCCGGTTGAAGCTGATAAAGACGCGATAAAGGCATTAGTTGATGCGAACCGGCGAATAACAAAACGTGAGATCGGATTGAGGTTAAATTTATCAAATTCAACAGTTTATGTTCGCTTCTCAAACGTCACGGAAATGATTCACTTTTGAAGCGCATCATCACTGGGGAAGAAAAATGGGTTGTATACAACAACGTCGAACGCAAGAGGTCATGGAACAAAGAAGATGAACCGGCTCAAACCATTTCCAAAGCCGATATTCATAAAAAAAAGGTGCTGCAGTCTGTTTGGTGGAATTTTAAAGGAATCGTTTTTTTTTTGAGCTTTTACCGGATAACCACGATTAATTCGAAAGTCTACTGTCATCAGCTGGACCAACTGAATGATACACTTCAACAGAAAAGACCAGAACTAAACAATAGGAAAGATGTAGTGTTTCACCAAGCCAACGCGAGACCTCACACAAGTTTGGTTACTCGCCAAAAGCTTTTATAGCTTGAATGGGATACAATGTCACACTCACCATATTCTCCAGACCTGGCACCATCGGATTATTATTTGTTCCGGGCACTCCAAAATTTTTTAGACGGTAAAACCTTCACCTCAAGTGAGGATGTCAAAAACCACCTCGATAACTTTTTTGCCAGCAAAGACCAAAAATTTATGAGCGTGGAATTATGCTACTAACAGAAAGATGCCAAAAGGTGTTGGATCAGAACGGCGAATATATAATTTAATAAAGTATTTGTTTATTATACGAAAACTGTCTTTTATTTTCACAAAAAAAAACGAATTTACTTTCCGAACAACCTTATATTAAGTGAAATTTATAAATTTATATCTTATAAGTGAAATTTAATAAATGAAATTTATAAATTTATGTTTTATAGGACTTCAAAATTTTCGAGTAACAGACATCGGAAACTGCAGCCGTTTAGAGAAACGTGAAAGCCTTAATAGGTGCAACGTTTTGTTTTGTTTTGTACACAAAAATCTAATATTAAACATCTAAATGTAAAATTAAAATAAAAAACACAAAATTCATCTTTAACAAGATAGCAAAAAAAAAAAAATAAAAAAAAATTAATGCAAAATCTCCAAGTTGTGGAGCAAAACTTGCAATAAAATTTCAAAATCCAAACCGTGTAAGAAAACATAATTTTAATGTTTGAACCAATCCAATAAAAGTAAAACATCAGAATCAGATCAGAACAGGAACAAAGTTTACAGAACAAAAGTTTCCATAGCAGTGTGAAAAGTTGGTTTTCAATTGTGAAATTCAACAAAAACAAATAACAAAAAGTTAAGATAATTTGTAGTTGGTGTGAAAAATCGAAGCGTAACAGAGGAAGATAGCGTTCTTAATATTAGCGCCAAAGAAATTTAACATCAACCAATAAAAAAAGAAGACAAAGCAAACTTCATGAATTTATCAATTTTAAATTACAATAAATCAAAAAATAAAAATTCAAATCCCCTTACGTCATTGACTTGGAGGACTGCTGAAACTTACCAAGATATCGGTAACACCACTATAGGTATCAATATCACAAATAACAAATCTGGTATTGACAAACAGCTTTGTTCACTGGAAATCTGTTTAAGCTAAATAGTATATCTTCCAAGAATAACAGAAGCAAGAAGTGCATACACAATCATTTGGGCATAGTTTAATGATTGTTTGAAAAGTCGAGAGTTTTCAACAAAAGTCTTGATTTCACATTCAGCAGTGAAAAATTTCTATTACAACAACGAATGCGTTTTCATCTAATCGGCACAAAGAGCAAGAGCATATATTATACATTTCCATTCACAAAAGATATTTCGATACAATAATTAGCAAAGATGGGTTCCGTTAACATTAATCGCAATGTCACTGACATTTTCTATCGTTACAAAATGCCTCGTATACAAGCTAAGGTCGAAGGCAAGGGTAATGGTATTAAAACTGTTATTGTCAACATGGCTGAAGTTGCACGAGCCATCGGTCGTCCAGCTACTTATCCCACTAAGTATTTTGGTTGTGAGCTAGGTGCACAAACACAATTCGATTACAAGGTAAGCAATCTAAGTAAACCACAGAGTCATAGTCATACGTTCAATAATAAATAATTATTACGCTATTTTAGAATGAACGTTTCATTGTCAATGGTTCGCATGATGCTGGCAAATTGCAAGATTTGCTTGATGGTTTTATACGAAAATTTGTTTTGTGTCCAGAATGCGATAATCCGGAGACTGATTTAACTGTTTCAGCAAAGAATCAAACTATCTCGCAGGCTTGTAAAGCGTGTGGTTTCCATGGTCTGCTTAAAGTTAATCATAAGGTTAACACATTCATACTGAAGAACCCGCCAACCATTAATCCAGCAGCACAAGGTTCATCACTTACGGAAGGCAAGCGTTCTAAACGCGTACATAAGAAGAATGGTGAAAATGGTGATGTTTCGGCAAATAATTCCATGGCCAATAATTCTGGTGGCGAATCTGATGGTGGAAGTGGTAACCAAGCTAGCCAAACTGAAGCTGAAATAAGTGCAGCTATACCGGAGAAGAAAGATGATGACGATGATGACGCTAACTGGAGTGTTGATGTGTCCAAGGTAAGAAATTAAAAACCATTGCTGTACTCCTTGAATATTGTTATAAATTGTTTGTATTGTTGTATAGGAAGCTATACGTGCTCGTTTACAAGATTTAACTGATGGCGCAAAGGGAATGACCATTTCTGATGATTATGATAAAACTGAAAAGGAGCGTATTGATATATTTTATGAATTGGTCAAGAAGAAGCGCGATGCTAATGAGCTGGATATTGTTGCTGTGCATAAGCAGTTACTCGTTGAAGCTGAACGCTTGGATATTGTACAGAAGGCTACTTTAGTATTGGCTGAGTTGCTATTTACAGAAAATATAACATTGGAAGTGCGTAAAAATCGTAATTTATTATTACGTTTTACCCACAATAACCCTAAGGCTCAACGTTATCTTATTGGTGGATTGGAGCAGATTATCGCTTTACATTCAGCTAAATTAATGAGCAAGGTAGCTGGCATACTCAAGCTATTCTATGATAGTGATATCTTAGAAGAGAAGGTTATTTTGGAATGGGCTCAAAAAGTTAGTAAAAAATACGTTTCAAAGGAAGTTGCTACTGAGATACACGAAAAAGCCAAACCATTTATACAATGGTTGCAAGAAGCAGAGGAGGAGGATTCGTCCGATGAAGAAGAAAATGACTCTGATCTTGAAATTGAGTATAATGATCGTGCACGTGTTGAGCCTCTTAAAGCTGCTGTTGCTGTGGCCGCTGTTAAGAAAATTGTTGATGACGATGAGGAGGGTGAAGAAATAGATATCGATGATATCTAAAGTCGCAAAGCAGCTGGAAAATATGACACCGAGCAATTAATAACTTTTTCAACTTGCAGAAAATTTATAATTGCTCCAATTAGTTTTTTTTGCTTTGCGTTTTACCGCGAATTTTTTTTTGAATTTTTAATTTTTGATTAAGTTTTAATATTTTATAATTATCAATACAGGATCAATTGAGCTTCATCAAATACACTAGCAGTTCTGTTTGACAGATTCAATTGTTCTGTAAACTATTGCAAACACACAAATAAAATTTTATTCTTTCTAAATAAGATATTTAAGCATTCACAAGTTGTGATGCATTTTAATTATTATTATATATATATATTTTGAAATTTTATATGCAAACAAAAATATCAAAAAAAGAAAAAATAATAAACCAAAAAAAAAACAAATAAATTATGTATGAAAATTTTGGTATATTTCAAGCATTACTTAAAATTATTAATCGCTAAACTTTAAACTTAAACAACTCTAGAAATGTTTTCTTTCCAACCAAATACTAATGCAGCTCAAATAATTATATTATTAACATAAAAGTTTAAGCATAAAATTAAACTTTAAACACCTTTGTAAGGCTTTTGTCCCATTTCAAATAATAACAAAATAGTAAAAAAGAATGTGCGAAAAATACCATTAAAAAAAAACTAAATATTGCTATATATTAATCACACTTTTTTAAAATTACAATATCTTTAAATCCAATACAATTATTATACGTAATATAATACTAATAATTTCCAAATAAAAGTAAAAAAAAATTTTATTTAGGTGGTGTATTTTTTAAACAGAATTTTTTTATAAAATCATTTATTTTTTTGATCGTATAGATCAAATGCTTATGCTGGCGAATAATAATGAGAATAGTGTAATGGTGAGAAATAATAATTCCAAACGCTTTTCACGTAGAGGAAGAATTGCACTAGCTCAATTGAGATTAGGATATGGCCATGTGCTGAACAGTTACTTGTTACGCATAAATGCGTCAATTTCCAATGTTGCTAATATGACAACTTCCTTTAAACTAAAACGGAATAATAGACTCGCCATCCTGCTTTCCTAAAGATCCTGATTAATTCAACTTATACGCCGTGATATTTGGTAAATAAGCCCTGGCTACTTATTCAGAGGCCTCTGGGAACAATTTACAAATCATTATATATATCATTATAGTATGTTTATATAAAATAATTTGTAATGTGATGTTATTAGTCTTTAAGATTCTAAAACTTATTGTTAGGCTTTAATTTAAAGCGATATTGTTAAATAAAAAATAAAAAAATATTCAATGTATGCCCAAATCCAGCTCTACCCCTCATGATATTGTCCATTTGCACACACTTACCTAATTTCCAAGAATTTGGTCGGTTATAAACACAAATGTGGATAAGTCTAATGTCGAGTTTATGGCGGGTGACTATACTTTCGAATCTGTCAAGGTCTGCACCTATCTGGGCACCACCATAATAAACAACACGCTTTAGCCTAGAGAACGGATTACCAAAGCTAATATTAATAGCTTAGCAGGAAATTGGGATGCAGAGCTCTCTCTCGACAAACAAAAATTACTCTCTATAGGTGGCTCATCCTACCTTTGTTTCTATATGGTGCAGAAGCATAGACGTTATCATAGATAATGATGAAGATGCATTGGGAACTTTTGAGAAAAAAGTTTTTCGTAGGCTCTTTGGTTCTCTCCGAGTTGGCGACATCGCATCCGAATAAGCCACGAGCTGTACGAGTTATATCATGATATTAATGTCTTACAGCGAATTAATGCCCAGCGATTACGTTGACTTGGTCATATCGTGAGAATGGATTACGATGCTCTAGTGAAGAAAGTGGAAGAAGAAGGAGTAGAGCCAAGTTATGTTTCCTACGGCTTATTTGTGGTTTTTACAAACTTTGGTTTTTTTAGAAGCAACAAAGCACATTTAAACTACTGTAATGACATATAATTTTTATTTTGCTTGCATCTCCATCTCGATGTTTGACAACTTTATTTATTGTGATTTGATAAATTCTTTTAAGCTTTAATTTGCTAAACACTATATTATGTATATAATGTACATAGTAACTAGAAATATTTTTTAAGAATCAACTGTAAGACTATCTACCAATGAAATTTAATAAATATATCTCGTTGAATATAAACTCGTGCAATGGAATTTTTCCATTGACCCAATCAAATTCGGACAACTACAAAAAACATAAGAACTATTACCCTTATCTATTTTAAAGCATAGACGTCATTAAATCACTTCTAACAAATCGATGTTCTTAAGATAAGATAGTATGGTAGGTTAAGAATGACTCGTTAGGTAACTTGTCAGCAACCTCAACTCTGTTCTAATAAGGTGAGAGTTCTCTCTATGATATAGATGGCATTCTACACTTCAAATAAACCGATCATGTTAAAATAAGATCATGTTATTGTAGGTTAAGAATTACTCCTATGGTAATCTGCCAGCAACTTCAATTAAAGAGATATTTATTTTTGTAGTTTTTTTTTAATAAATAGTTCATACTTTATGTTTTATCTGAGTGATGATAAAATAATAGTTCATTTATTTATTATGTTGAAACATCTAAACATTTTTTTTTAACTTTGATTTTTAAAAACAAAAACCGCATCTAAACACATTTTCTGTGAGTTCTCTATTGTCGCAGTAGACTTATGTTATGTCCATCATGGTACATAATCGCTTTCCAACAACTTATAGAAGACAACGAAACCATTAAAGAGGTTAGTGCACGATCTAGCTTCTAGATATATAGTATTTCCAATTTATGGATATGATATGAATATGTTTATAAGAATATGTATATTTATTTTAAAAACTTTCAAATAAAAATAAATTTGTTTTTTATACCATTCGGAAATATATAATATTTTAATAAAATAAGTTTATTTTATAGTCAATAATTCAATATATACAATATATATATTTCAAGTTAAATTCTATAATTTTTATGTTGTATGAATTTCTTTAAATAAATATAAATATATATATATATAAATATATATATATAAATATATAATTTTATTTTAACATTCTTCTCACTTTACTTTCTAGATTTAATACATAAATTTTATTAATTATATTTCAGGACGAAGGGCCTAGCAGCCCAGTTCCTTATTTATAGTTAATTTTAAAATTAATGTTACTGTTTACTCACAAATAAATAAATAATAAATAAATAAATATTAATATTTTTAATTTAATTCACACAAATTTCAATACAAATGCAATTCTTTATATCTGTTAGAATTTAAATTGCAAGATAAAGTTTAAATTTAAATTGCACACTCATTTCTATAAACTTTCGTTCGATAAGCTTTTTGCATCCTTTACCAACCAACAAAAACACTTAAACATGTGTAAAAGCTCGTGCAATACACACACACATACAACAGCAACAACAATTTTGATTTCAATATTTAGCAAAAGCACAATAACAACAATAATGACGTGATTTTAAAAATGGCAGTGCGAACCTGAGGAGCGCAAAAAAGTTGTTAATTTTGTTATTGTTTAATGGCTGGCAATGTGAAGCACGTTTTCTTATTAGAAAAATAAATAAAAATGTAGACAATTTTAACAAATTCTTCAGTCGGTCAAATGAACTTGTCTTGAAATGTAGTAGAGTGAGATATTATTATTTAAAGAATTTTAATTTAAAAAAAAAGCAAATAAAGAAAAAACTATTTTGTAAATAAAATAAAACTGGAAATAAATAATTAAAATTATTGTGTTCATTGTGGTAATAATTTTTTTTTGTTAACTTTCGAAATTAAGTTAATTACAAATTTTTAGCAGTTTTTGGATAATAAATGACTTAAGCAAAAAAGCAATAAAACAATAAATAAAACGTGTGCAAAATAAAAAATATAAAAATATAAAAAAAGAGTGCAAATAAAATTGTAAACCGTAAATTGTATGCGCCAAAGGCGAAAACCAGAAACACAAAATAATCAATTCGAGGTGAGTTTTTTTATGAAGACCAAGCAACATATGTTTTTGTTTTTAAATATAACGTGTAGTGGTATAACAGTTTAGTTAAAGATGTTGGAAAACTGTTATAACATTGGAGATATGTGCATTTTTGAATTGCACTTATGAAATTATCATTAAAGACGACTTGTTGCTTATAATAATTATTTTTGTTATTGTGATTTTAATTTCTAATTATTTTATTTTAATATAATTATTATTTTTTTATTAAAAGTGATAATAAAATAATAATAAAACAATAAAAATAAATTATGAGAGATTTTTCTAAGAAAATATTTCTTATTTCACACAATTTTTTGTATTTGTATTTTTATTTTTTATTTTATTTTCTATTTGATTTTAATATTAAAAATGTTTGCGTAAACCTTTTTTTTATTCATGTTTTTGTGAAATTATTCCATTTTTTTCTTCTTATTTTTTAGCACCTTTTTATTTTATATATGTAGTAACTTCGGTTTTTTAGTATTTTAGCATTGTTTTTTGTGTTGCGGGACTTTACCCTACTAATACCACCTCTTAGTAATGGCTGTAGAAGATTGTAATCAGGGAGAAATGGAAATGGACATTTAGGTAGTAGTAAATCTCTGTATACACATTTGTTCCAAGCCACACTTGAGTCATTTTTGAGGATTAATTTGGGTGCATTAAACTTTGATGCTTGCTACACTTAATGAATTCTGCAGATTAAAAATTCGTATACATGCACTCTGCTTGGTTGTTAGTGTGTAAGTGTAGAAAAGCAAAAGAAACATTTTGAGAAAAAATTTAATATTTATTTTGGTATTCATAAATTAAACATAAATTTGTATATATTTATGCCATGCAAACCTGGCACTTGCAGTCCAAACAACTTTTATATGGACTATAAACTAATTAAAAAAAAAAATTCAAATATTTCCTAAGACCGATCACCGACCACTCCACTGATGATGAGTACTTGGCAATACTCGAAACAGCATTGTTTGGTCACCCAAACTTCAATAAATTAACTATAATATTGTTGTTGTCTTTTCATTTTCGAACCTTTCTAACTTTTAAATAGTGTTTTTCGTTATAAGATGCGTCACTTACGACAAAACAAAATAAATTTTTTAAATAATTTCTTTTATTTTTGCTGTTTACTTTTCAAGTTTGATAAAGTACTTGAGCAAATATATTGGTTTCTCCGATTTTTCAATATCATCAAAGCATGAGTAAAATTTCAATCCACTAAGTGCAGTAAATTGTGCGAAAACTGTTATAAAAACTAATTTTAATCCTCAATTTAGTATGGCATAGGTCTTTGAGCTAAGTTGAGCACTGACTACATGAGTGAATGTTTATATGGAAACGATTTTGTGGGGTAATGAATACGTAGTGTTTGGTGTTTTTGAAATGAATCAGCAAAATGTTGTTGTCTTTTGTTATTTTATGTATACTTTTTGAATTGTATTTCGCTGAAACATAAATATAACCTAAATTTATCAAGCTTATAGTGTAATGAAAATGTTTTTAATTTCTAGCATTAATAGTTTAGTAAGTTATATTAAGGATTTTTAAATCATTGCCGGTACTTTTCCATTACTTCACTTAAATATTGTTTTTATTGCTGTTAAAAATGTAAGTGATTAGAGCAAATCAAATTGTAATTCTTTATATAATTTTATTCCTTGAGACTTAAAAAATAGCAACAAAAAAGTAAATGCATTTTGGAGTGTTTGACTTTGACTTGTTTTATTAGAACTTGAAACCATTTTTTACAATTACTTTAGTAAATAATATTGAAAATTTTTATTGATTTTCATTATTATTTATTTTTACTAGTATTCGCTTGAATTAAGCAGTTTATATAAGCATATAATTGTTATTTACTTTCCTCCTAGCTATGACTTCTTGCACGATTCATAATATTTTAAATATTGTAGTTCAAGCTCTATCGTGACTCTGATTTCATTATTTAGTTCCCGACCGCTGAGAATGGTCAGTATTTATCTAGTGCAATATATATATTATCATGTGCTGTGCTAATGAATGACATTTTTATATTACTTTTCTATTTATTGTTAATTTTTTATATTTGATTAATTCTAAAGCAAAATAAATGCTAATATTTATAATCCATCTAAACAAAGACGTAGTATTGTGTATAGAATAGTAAACAATATAAGACTTATATAAATTTATTACTTGTGATAAGGTGCATCAAGAAGCACAGTGAATGAGCAAGCCCTGTTATTAGAATTCTAGAGGATCGGTCATAAATGAAAATTTGCCTAAAGAGATTACCGTAAAGTAAACGAAGATGTAGGGCATGCGTAAGATGGATTGTTAGTGGGATCAGAGCCTCGAAGAATTGACATGACTAAGTGGAAAAAAAAACTTGAATAATGAAATAGATATAAATGCAAAGCAGTTGTACAGGTGTAGTGTTAATGAAAATGAATGCTTACTAGACTCTTAGCTAGAAATTTGATTTGTGGGGGTTTATAAATTAAAAATCGCAAAAAATTTTGAAAGTAGTCTTTCAAATTATTTTTCGATAAAACTTAGACTAATTCATCTAGATTAGTTGCAGTATTTCAGTGAATCCAGTCTGTCATGGCTTATTACATTTCCTGGTAGAGTTCATCTCTTAATCGTAGCTGCTGTGATGGCTAGATTAGGTAAAATCATGAGAAAATTGTACATTACCAGTAAATAAATACTGACAATTTCAAAGAATCATTATAAGCATATCTAGTTGACATCCTTTCACATTGAATTATATACTTTGGTTTCCACTGTAGTCAACGATATTTTATTGGTATTGTATTTGTTTGCATATAGCTCATCTATTCAAATTGGAGGAAACTCCCAACTATTAAGCCCTTACCCTAACATTTCAAGTTCAAATTTTGACAGAATTAAAATGTTTTATATTTGAATCGGAAGACATTTTCATTGCGTGAGTTAATTAATTTTCATATTTCTTATAGCAATTTTTGGAAGACCTATGATTTAAAAAAATTTCATCATATCAAAGTATATCAAATAATAATTTTTGAGGTGTTATCACTTCTTAAAATCTTGACGTGACCGGAACGATTTTATAAAATTTTATTCTTGGTTATTTATTTTGTTTTGTTAAATTAATTGTATAGCCACACGCATAAAATATAATCAACTTTTTTTTAACCAAGGATAGATTGTTCCAATACAAAGTACCCCTACTAACTTTAAATATATCAACAAACATTTTTACCGTGGAGCAAGTGAAGTGGCAATAAAGTTTTAATCAATGGGGCAGACATGTTGAGTGCGCACAGCCATGACTTATGCGGACTATATATAAATTTCTAATCATACGAATAGTTAGTAAGTCTATTAGAAATGTAGGGGTTCCAAAGCAATTGAAAACCCTAGTTGGTTTAAGTGAAGTTGTTCTATGTCTTATATAAAGCCGTCTATTTAAAAAAATTTGTACTATTATAGGAACTTAAAAAAAGATGAAGAGGTAGAAGAAGAAAAAAATTATAATATTTTTTTGATATGAAGAATTCTTCATTTATTGTATATAATTTAAATTATATCGAGAAAAATACTAATATTTAAATTTAAATAAATCTATAAGAAAAATCAAGCAAAAATGTTATAAACAAAATAAAACGATGTACTTGAAAATTTTAATGAACTGTGAAGTACGAGTATCTAATGACGTTGAATATTATTATCTTTATAAGTACTTTATTATTACAAAGATTAATTGATATGTAAAAATTGAGAACTGGATTTTAAAAGTTTATTCACGTTTGAAATAAAATAACACGAAGTGGAATAAATTTGAAAAAAATCAACGTCCCTTTCTCCGTCTCGTTGCAGTGAACTATACATGGTGGAATCACATGCTTTAAAGAACATTCTAATTCATATTATCATATTATATTTATATGATAATATGAATAAATATTTTATTAATATTGATAATACTATAAATCTTTGCTTTTTCTTAAAGACACTAGTTGATTAGTTAAAATTAAGTAGATCGTATAGATTAGATACACATAAAACCGGTAATTTTCGTTATATATAGTTGATGTGTCACTATAAATTGTCCAATGAACGTCAGTATTAAAGCAGATATTAACTATTTTTTTGATTAAATTTTGTTTTCGTTAAACAGTAATTAATTTGATCCGATAAGATAAATTTTAAGAACCCTTAGTATTATAATTATAAGAAAAGAGTTAAATACTTTACAGGTCTTATCAGCAGATTTTATCATATATAAACATCTGTGATTTTATTAAAATTGGCTTTAATTTATGCGATAATTTTTTTAATTATTATGTAAATATTTAAATTTTGTTTATAGACAATAAAAGTCTAATAAGTATTTTTAAAACAATAAAATTATTGACACTCATTCTAGAAGGTTCTACAATAGGTATTATCTGTAATTGGTTATATGAGGATTTTATAAAAATAATTATAATTTATTAATATAATATAATTAATTTTTATATATTTAATTTGACGTTTTCTAAATATTGATCTGGTTCAAAAGCATTGACCCCTTTCAATGTGACATTTAGAAGATTACTTAAGTGTCTTGTGCTTACGGTCATAAACTTAAGCTGGATAACATCATTCCCTTGGTAGACCTAAACATAATATTTCGATATGTCGTTATGAGAAAAGTTTGGATTGAATAGAAGTTCATTTTTTATATTACAATATATATGTCTACAATATGTTTGTATGGTATTTGTAGTTGCCATTATTATATATATTTGCTTAATTGATAACGAGGGATTTGCTCTTCTCTTTAAGGTTCTTAATAAATAAGATTTTTCTATTAAAATCTATATTTGCGTTGTCCACAAGCTGGTTAGCTCGTAAGCTTCCATAGAGGACATACTTGAATTTTATGTATTGAACACATTAAAACTCAGTTATCCTTTTATGTGGTTTAATTAGATTTTTCAGTTAAGGATACCGCTACCTTGTAGTATTCGAAATACAAGTTCTATTTGAGGAATCTATGGTTAGATTACGTTTGGTTTTGTTGACGATTGTAATGAACCATTTATACCCTTTTAAGTTTTAGTTATCGTATAAAAATTCAGAGGTTTAGAAACTATCTTGAACTTTGGCAAAGCCTAAAATGCTCTTTAAAGAAAGGTCTTGGAGCTGACCCAGACTTTAAAAAAATAATGATGAATGAATTGAAGTTGTGAAAGATAGGTTGCTTAAAAATTAACTATTTAAGAAAAAGCTGGGTCAGTGGCGTAACTACAGGGAAGCGACTGGAAGCAACGCTTTCGGGCCCCCGAACTTAGGGGGCCCCATTATAAATTTATGCATTCATTATTAAAGAAATTACCAAAACTAGACAATTTTCTTAAAATAAATGAAAATAAAACTGAAGGAGTAAACGATACACAGAATAAATTGACACATTGTTCAGATACTAAAACAGACTTCAAACAGACGATACGAAAATCTTCAGAAGCCTAATATACCTTTTTTATACTTTTTCGTGTAAAGGGTATAAAAAGATATTAGTAGGAGCTCCTAAATTATAATTCGCTTATGGGCCTAAAAAATGTAGTTACGCCACTGAGCTGGGTTTATAGGTACTGACAGTGTTTTAGAAAATTAATTCAAAGTTTTGAGGAAAATGATAATGAATTTTCACAAAATGACACAATTGACTTCATAGATCATTAGTAGTATAGTCATTCTACCAATTTAATCAATAGTATTTTTTCTGTATAATTTATTGGAATAATGTGCATCACTCTTGAGCTACTTGTAGATTTGGAGACTACATTCAAATCTTTCGCCATCTTGACAAGAAGAGAGATTGTAATAGTAAAGAAATATTTAGAAATCTGCCGTTTTATAAACTTTTTCTTATTAAATTGTATAATTAATTTTTTTATTTAATGTGAATGTATAATAAGAATTATTGAGCTACAAGTTTTTAAAAAATATAAAACATGTTTATATGAAATTATAAAATTTATTAACAGACAATCATAACAGACGTTTATATTGCTGAGTTGTCTATAAAAAATTTAAATACTTTTATTTATTCCTATCTACGTTTAAACGTTTCAAGCTAATTTATCATTTATCATTTGATAAAACATTTTGTTGATTGTTTTTTTCACATACATATCTCAAATTTTAGAAACCAGTCGGGGAAACTAAAGATAGCAAGAAAAAACTCAGTACCAAAATGACTTCATCCAAGACGGACGTGAAAAAATTACCCAACTCACCGCAGCATGATAGCATAGAAGTACAGATGGATAGCTTAGATTCAAGTCATGGATTTTCAAGCCCCATTGAAGATACAAAACTAACTAAGCCAAGAGTTTTTAAATCAAAAGTTTTTGTAGCTGCCATCATATTTTCCAGTGTCTTAATAATAATAATGTGTATTGGTTTCTTGATATATTACGAGTTCGGTAACGATGAAACTGATCCGCATGATTTGACATATTGGCACTTAAATTTACCCGCTGAACAAAAGATTTGGTATGACAAAGGCATTGATGAACTAAAGTCTGCTTTGAATCAGGAAATAAATCGTAAACGTGCAAGAAATGTTATACTTTTTGTGGGCGACGGTATGGGTCCAAATACAGTAACAGCAGCACGCATATATGGTTTCAAGGAAGAAGGTGTACTGAGTTGGGAGCAGTTTCCACATATGGGTATGCTTAAGGTAAGTTTAGTTACGATAAAAAAATTATTTTTTTCTTTATTAAATTATGTTTTCATTGTTCAATGCAGACCTATTGTGCGGATAAACAAGTGCCCGACTCTTTTTCCACAGCGACGGCTTTATTCGGTGGTGTGAAAACTAACTATGAAACTGGTGGATTGGATTCGAGTGTAGCATTGGGTAATTGTAGTGCAGATGCTTTGAATAGTGCACATCATATTCAGACAATACTCAAATGGGCACAGATTGATGGCATGAACACGGGTTTCGTTACAACTACTCGCGTAACGCATGCAACACCCGCTGCATTGTACGCACACTCGCCGGATAGACGTTGGGAGTGCGAATCAACTATGTCTGATGAAGCGAAGACAGCTGGTTGTACGGATATTGCAAGACAACTGATAGAAACCGAAACCGGTAAAAATATAAATGTAAGTTTATGATAATGTTTAGATTTCAATGTTGAATAAAATGTAAAGACGGGTATACATGTATATAACATAAAGTAAATTATAATATTGACAGTGTAGAAGTCTTAGATCGTAATGAATAAACTCTTTTTTTTATCAAACAAGTATATACGTTATAATTTTTAAATGAAAATTTATTAAGTCAAAGAAAAAGTCTTTAAAAATAAGTTTTTTGCCTAGGTTATTATGGGTGGAGGTCGCCAAATGCTTGTGTCAGACGTTGAAGATTCAGCAGCTGATCCCATTGATACTTGGGCAGGTAAATCGAATGATGGACGAAATTTAATTGAAGACTGGAAACAGATTAAAGAAAAAGATGATAAAAATTATGCTGTAGTACAAAATACTGGTGAATTAAATAGTATGAATACGGCTGATGTGGATTATGTGTTAGGTAGGTCGAAAAATCCTTATAGGAAAGATAAAAGAACTCAGTTCCCTGCACTAAATTTTAATGTTAATTATTTCATATGCGTGTGTGTCTATTGTGTAATAAAGTATTTGTTGTCAATTTACTATAATTGTAGGTATTTTTGCTAATGGTCATTTAAAATATGAACACGAACGCGACACTAGCGATACTGGTATGCCATCGCTAAAACAGATGACACTTAAAGCTTTAGAAGTACTCAAAAGTAAGGACAAAGGTTTTCTACTCGTTGTGGAGAGTGGTCTTATCGATCAAGCACATCATCGTGGTACTGCTAGAAAAGCATTATCGGAAGTTTTAGCTTTAAACGATGCGGTGAATGCAACTATACAGGCTATGAAGTAAGTAGGCTTATTATTTAAATAATAAATAGAAAGCAAACATGTAATAGAGAAATTCAATTTACTTTAGGTCTCAAATGGATGATAGTCTGATTATTGTTACTTCGGATCATGCACATAGTCTCACCATAAATGGTCATCCCGATAAAGGTGCTGATATTTTGGGTACAGCTATGAATTCAAAAACCGAAGGTACAGCCTTTACAACACTAACATATGGTACGAGCTATAAAGGTTTCAAAGCTGATGATACTGGAAAACGTGTAGATCCCTCAACGGTTGATACAACGGACTGGGACTATACGCAGCAAGCGGCAATTAATACAGATGAAAATTTACACGGCGGTACTGATGTCGCCATACATGCAAAAGGTAAGTTTTTAAGTTTGAACTTTTTAAATATTTTTTTTATTGAATAAAAATAAATCGTTTTCATATATTTTTAGGTGCCATGTCATACTTGTTCCATGGTATGCACGAACAGAGCTATGTAGCTCATGTTATCTCATACGCTTTGCGTATTGGACGGTTTCGAGATAGTTCAATTGCTGAATCTCTAGCGGAACTAATGCCTTTATAATTAATTTAATTAGTGAATAGGTTTTAATTAAATGAATTTAATTCTAAGCACAAATTGACTCTGTATTTGCATAAGTTAGTTATGTAGTAATTTATTGTGATATTAAGTACACTTTATATATAAGGTTTTTTTTTAAAAATTTAGCTAAAATACTAACCAATTTATTAAATAAATAGATTTTTAAATTAACTTAAATTATTTTTTAATTACAAAATATATAACAACATATTAAAAATTAAATATATAAAATATTCTCTATCACTATTATAGCTGGGATCACAAGCCCGAAGCTACCTTAGAACCACAAGGTAACTGTTTATATAGAAATCAAGTCCTACTTCTCTGTTATTTCACAACTATATTTAAAAAGGTAATGTTATTTACCTTGTTGTTGTTATTGTAAAGTCATTTGTGACAAGTAAGTTCATCAGTTGGACATGGGAGTTATATTTTATATCTAGAGATATGCAGCGGGACGTTATATTCTCAACAATCTTGATCTCACAACTGTTGCTTCCGTTGTAGTTTCATAATAGTACGAAGAAAGTGAGTGGCGGATGCAATAGAGAGGGATAGCTTGACTGACTATCTCTGTAGTAACTGTACTTTAATGTAAATAAATTATGATATAGAAAATACATTCCAGAAAGCAAATTTGCGTTATATAAACGAAATTTTAGGTCAATGTTAAGGTGTTATTGACCTTAACAAGATAGGTATTCGACCTAGTGGTGTCCTTGATTTTGGTTGTGTCAAGCTGTTGTGGAGTAATAAACTAAGTTCTGCCAATTCAACCCTTTCTCATCCTCATTCCCACACCCAATTCTTATCGTGACATACGGTGCACCTCACTGATACCTGACAATCTCAGCAAGCTTACCGTATTACTCTGGGTTATGATTTGATGGTCGTCTTTTTCTCCACACTGGTAGGATTTAAATATGGAAAAAATGTTTTAAAAAAATTAAAAAACTAGTCTACATAGTCTATGTATGCGGTATAAACTGGCTGATTACGTGAACTTTAATATTCAAGATACTGATCATTAAGTTTCGATTCATAAAAAAAAAATAAAAACAAAATAAATCAAAGGGCAAACACCAAATATTATAAATTTGAGTGCACGGACAGTCTCGCAAATTATAGTTAAGTAAAGTGGAGAGTCTTAGGATTCTGTAAAGGTTTAACAACATGTTGCAGTACTCTACAAGTATTAGTCAGGACTTGGAAAAAACTCCGACTTTAAGGAATGCCCAAAAAAAACGGTATATCTGAATTGTGCGGGTACTAAATGCTATCTTTGCTATCTCAAAGAATCACCCTGGTCTCATTGCAGTAATTCTGCAGGATGTATTAAAAAATACATATTTTAAAAATTCATGTTGAATTAAAATATGAAATCATATTAAAAGGTTTGAAATCTCAATATTCGATATAAAAACTTTAATTTTTATTAAAGTCTTTAACGATTATTTATTTTTTATATTACAAATCTGTTTAAATTTCATTATTCAAATTGAAACTCTTATAAGCTATGGATCTAAAACATTCATTATTCTACATCATTGGTAATATTCAAAGAATCTTCTAAAAATATTTAAATGTTCTCTTAGTTGATTTTAGACCTCCGTTTCTTTTTTTATAGATCATTATATCATTATAATTATAATTAAAGATCTATATCATTTTAGAACTTTAAGCTATAATGATATGTTATATAAAATACTTGTTAGCACACAAATTAAATATAATAACATATTCATAGATTAAATAAACAAAAGTCAAAGTGCCATTTAACATTAACGAAGACATGAAAAATCTTTAAAAACAGAACAATTTCTTAAAAAATTTCTTTAGTAAACATTTTTATAAACATTTTCTATGTTAAAAATAAATAATATATTTATACAAATGTTATATTACTTATTATTATTTGTTATAAATGAACAGTCCGTACAAGCTGGCATTGATTGGGAATATACCGTGAAAGATTGCAGTTTTTTAAAATAACGAAACGTATTTGTTTATTTTTATTACAGCTCATGCACAAACCAATTACGCCTTTTCATATGCTTGACACAAACCAATAAGAACTTTTATACCAAATTTAAAATAAATATTGAAATCTATTGAAATATGTGATTTCAATTGCAATTAATAATTTAGCTTGAATAAGCAATGAGCGAAATATATATTATATATTATAAAATAAAAATATTACTTATACTAGAGAAATACATTTTTTTGAAATGTTCAATTTTTAGTTGCTCTAGTAAATAAATATTTTGCACACAACAATTATTATATACAGAAATTGTAGTGAAATATGAATTATTTCTGCATACCAAAATGTTAATAGTTTCTCTTTTTTTATCTTAATTTAGAATAAAGATATATTTATTTTTATATATTTTTATATTTATAGCACAGTAATTCATCAAATGCGTCAAAAAAACGCTTAATAACGCTTCATCGTTGCACAAATACAATTCTTCAAGTATTTTGTGTAGTTTACACAAAAAAGCACAACTGTCAAATTGACATTTGCTCTCAGTAGCAAAATTTATAATTTACAAAGAAATTTAGTTGCTCTTGTGTTGTGCAAATATCGGGTCGATTGCGTTGAAGATTTACTAAATGTAATAAACAAAATGTGTACAAATATGTCATATAAATAATATTTAAATTAATATAGATAAAAGTTTAACAATCACTTATTACTTTTTAAAATAGTAATTGTGCATAAGTTTACAGTAAACATAAAATTCTATAAAAAGCAATTAATTGCACCGGCAAAACATATGGAAACAATAAATTTAACTTTAAATGTATAAGTGCCTGCAACCAATAATACATAAATTAATAAATTAAAAATGTATTTAATATTAAAATAAAAATCAAGTGAATGCTTTGTATTTATATATATTGTATATTATTAATAAATTCTTAATAAATTGCATAACGTATACCTCCATCATAGTTGTTGTGTTATAAGGGCTTAATCATGTGATTTTTTTTAAATCTCATTCAATTAAAGTATGAGTGATTTGAAAGTATTTCGCAGTTAATATACGAAAACGAGACTCCCACACAAACAATTTTTGCGAACATATTCATACAACAAAAATATACAAACAACAGAAAAATATCGATCCAATTTCCAAACTGCAAAAAAGGAGTTGTGTATTAAATAAATGAATTCTTTCGATTGTGTAATGCGTTTTTTTTATCAGATTACACAATCTATAGGTTGGTGCTTGATGTTTGTGGTTTGTTGAATGGACTTCATACCATTCGTTGTGCATTCAATTAATTTTAAAATATTCCTAATATTTTCTTCAGTTTGCTTTGAATTTTACTAAATGATCTCATTCTAATTTTCTCCTTTGGATTGTTTTTGCCGCTTAAGGTGGTGACCCACTTTTGTTGTAATTTTTTGGCTGTCCGCCGGTTTTATGACATTGACAACGCAGTTTTTGTTGCATGCGCTATGTGCCACACATTGTTGTTGTTGTTATAATTGACACAAAATTAGTGTTTGCTGTGTTTGGTGTGCATATTTTTAAGGTGTGTGCGTGTGCTTACGACACAAAAACTAAATTAGGTAATTTAATTGAGAAAAACCTAGTCACTAATTTTACTAGGTTAAATCGGAAACTATAATTGGAGACAACAGTTTGATTGATTTTTATTTCATTTAAATAATTGATAGCAATCATTTATCCACACCTATGATTATTATTATTGGAAAAAATTTTATGGATTCAACCTTTACTTTCAACTTTTTAAGTACATTTTCATTTTGCATACATGGCAGATTTGTATTCTTGCTCCAAATTATTTTACGCACCGTAGCAAAAATATATATATACATATATATATATATATATTTAAATACATACATAATTAATTATAACAAAAAATAAAACTACTTTTAATTCTTTAACTGTTTCCAAGTACAACGATTTTTGATATAAAGCACAAACAGCACAAATATAGTTAGATCAGGTTAAAGTGGCAACCTGTACACTAAAATTCAATTAAGCTCAAATAATGGTCCGCTATGATATTATGGATGAGCAACTATCCTAATGTGAGATCTGATTACCTTAAAGGTAGAAGTGCAAAGCATCTATCGCATGAATAGCGTCAAGTCAAAGAGAGTCAACATGATAAGTCCCCAAAGTCTTTGGAACCTCTTTACTTACCGAACTGCCAAAATTGTCATCCTGCAAAACTAGAGATTTATAGTTTTATAGACTTGTCAGGTTGCTACACTAGGGTGGCTCAGAAAAACTAAAATGCGATTTTTAATGAGCGCACCCCCTAGGAATATGCCATTGACCAAAAAAATGATATTTCCAAAGTTTTGGACCAATAGGATTAAAAATGACGTTGCGCCACTCGAGCAAAGTTGGGTTTTCAGTACAAAAAACAGAAATTTTTCATTTCAAGGTCATTTTTTATCTTTTATCTTATTTCAACAGTTATTAATATATACTCATTTGATAGATAATTAAAATATCTTTTTAATAAGATACGGATGAGCAAAATCGGTTAAGAATTATGCGCAAAACACAATAATTAGTTGAGCGACTGTGCTCTGTTTTCTATTTCATACCTTTTAGCTGGCATGCACAATGCAATCGCAAATGTTTACAAGAAACGGAAAAAACATAAATAAAAAATAAAAATAATACATTTCTACTTAATAATTTATATAGATATTTAAGAAGAATTGAAAATGTAGTCAAAACAAGAATTTTTTCGTAAGTAAAGAGAAAATGGTCGTACAGGGAGTATGACTGAAGTTAATATCCTTTTAGCAAACGAAGCAAGAGCGACTAAAAATTTCATTGATTTTAATTGGAATGAATTCGATGAAGAAATTTGTCTCAAAATGGATGCTGAATCTTTAGTCACAGTTCAACAAAATTGGGATAACGCAGACAGAACGATTCTATTTATCACTCCTATTTTAGTTTCCGCCCTTCGGATCGCTACGCTATACATATTTTGTAGTAGTTACCTGGTTACCTATGGCGCCCAGGTGCCATCTAAGATTCTCGATGGATGGCGAAAATCATGTACTTACTAAAAATGTATATTTTA